CTGGAAAATCATCTGCAAAGTCAGGAGGGGAAAAAACAGCTTTAGACAAGGCACCAAACCTGCATGACCAGAAAGGAGAAGGAACCATAAAAGGATTCACATTTAACCAACAAATGTACATATTCATCCAACCCAATTACCTTTAGCCAACTAAAAGATATATCTCCAAAAAAGGATTCACATTTAACCAACAAAAACCCCAACAGAACGTCATCTAAATTGCAAGTGAAAGTCATCAAACCAAATTCTTAAGCATACATATAAAAACAGGTAAACATAGCACTTGGTGTCTAGCTGACTAGCTCTAGATCATCTACATCAACAATTGGAACCGGAAGAGAATCCTCTTGGTCATTGATAGAACTTGAACTTCCAATTCTCATATTCATCATGTATGCGTTTATAGAAACAAATTAAAAGAAGTATATAATATATAAGTATACAAATTCAAGTTAAATAATGTCGTACCTTTTCCAAACTTTTCAATATCAGCTATGTTTTCTTCAACTGCAATTGGCTGACTAGGGCCTCTTAGCCAGTCTTGTGTACATATCAAGGCTTCTACCATTTTAGGAGATAGAGAACTCCTAAAATTATCTAAGACCCGACCACTAGTACTAAAAGTAGACTCAGATGCCACAGTTGAAATTGGAACAACAAGCACATCTCGAGCCAATTTTGAAAGAATAGGAAATCTTTCACTATTAACCTTCCACCATCTTAAAATATCAAAATCGTTTGTCTCATCTACGGTCGACTCACTTAGATAAAGTTCAAGTTCACTCTTTTTGTTGAGTGAAGCCCCACTTTCCATCTTTTGTTTCTTAAGTTGGCTCTTTAATCTAGATTGTACCCTTCCAATGGGAACATTCTCACACTTAGTGGGTGGAGGAGGCATCATAGTGGTAGAAGGTTCGGAATATGTTGACACATACTCTTGAAACAACATATCCAATTTAGACTTTACCTTCTCAAAACATGACTTACCTTGCTCCTCACCATACATTTGATTGAGCTGGACTTGCATGTACTCAACCWTGTCTCTGGGGTCCAATATATTGCCAAAAAATATAATGAGATTCATCTTATCTGGATCACCCCAATATTTAGTAAACTTTTCTTTCATTTTAACACCCATTTCCTGTTCATAAATCAAAAACTTAAAGTTAGTAAACAACCAAATATAAGTAAATAGTAAAGGTTAAAGTAAAGGAAGATAAACATACCTCTTCAACTTTCGACGTAGATTGTAACATATCGGCAATTATGCAACTCAAATCTGAAATCTCAGTTAAGAAAGAATTTGAGGTGACATAAAGTGAGCCAGAAATTCTAATTGTCATCTCATAAAAAGTCTTCAAAAATATTACCAAACTGTCAACACATAACCAATCAACATATGACGGCACCGAATCACCCAAATCCAAATGTAACGCGGTGTCACTACTCTCATACGTTTCAAAAACGTTTCTGTAAGCCATTGCGGTTCGAAGCATCATATAGGTCGAGTTCCATCTAGTTGGAACGTCAAGACATAAGGAACTTTTCTCTTCCACTTCAAGCAAATCTGCAAGTTCTCTAAACTTCTTCAACCTAGATGGAGAACCCCTCACCCACCTAACGTAATCCCTAATCTTCTTGACTGATGAATCTGCTAATTTCAATCCATCTTGTACAACCAAATTAAGAATATGAGCAATGCATCTCATATGTATATATTCTGCCCTAATAKAAGAACCACCCCAATTCACCACTTTTTTCTTCATGAACCCAACGGCAATGTCATTGCTTGATGCATTATCAACTGTGATGGTGAAAATATTTTTTATGCCCYAMTCAAGCAAACAACTCTCTATGGYCTTAGCTATACTTTCYCCTTTATGTGAATGTATAGGCACAAACGAGATGACCTTCTTATTCAGTTTCCACTCATCATCAATAAAATGTGCAGTGACACACATATAATTGATTCTTTGAACAGATGTCCAAGTATCARTAGTCAAACTAATGYGTTGCGTGCTTGACTTAAACAATTTCTTAAGGTTTGTCTTCTCTTCAAAGTAAGTACTAAATATATCCCTAKYAACGGTCCATCTAGAAGGGATCTTAAATCTAGGGCATGCAGCTTCAACAAAYTGTTTAAAACCCCTCCCTTCAACAAACCTAAATGGAAGTTCATCCATTATAATCATTTTCGCTAACATCTTTCGRACCACCTCTTGGTTAAAAACCCAAGAGGTCAAAGCACCATCACTATTTTCAGATTTTGCAGATTGATATGCAAGAATGGATTGCTTTGTTTCCTTAGCATGTGGATTTTTTAAACAAGCACGCATGTGGCTATTTAAAGAGGAAGTACCATGTTTTTTAGCCTCAGCTGCATATACTTTTGCACAATATAAACACTTACCTTTAATGACTAGCCCATCCTCATTCAAAATCTTCTCAAAATGGTCCCATACTTGAGATCTGGATTCTAACGTTTTCCTTTTCTTTGTACTTTCCGGAACAGATTGAGTTACGGTAGGATTAGATTGTAAAGGAGGAGCTTGAGAACTGTTACTTACGGACTGAGACATGCTAAGGTTTTCCATCTTCAATTCTAAACAATATAACAAGTATCATCTTCAATATAAGTTACTAGTAGACTACATTCTATTCATGTGCGACGAGCTCTATCATAAACTGTTTGCAAGCTCTTATATCGTCAAACTTTATAGTTTATACTTTATAGTGCCTATAAATAAGCAAAAATTCTATTTATGTGGATAATGAAAAGTGGAAACCAAAATGGCAAAAGTGGAAATTTCCTTATACATCACAGCCCTTAATGAAAAGTGGAAACCAAAAT